GGAGGTTCAAACTTATTCGCTGCCGCGGGGCCGCCCTCCACGTGGTGCACTCCGATCAGGGCTTCCACCAGGTCCGCTAGAATTTCTGGCCCAGAACCTGCGGCGGAACGGAAGGAAGTGGAATGGAATCGGGGCAAGACGTGAAGTTGCCTCGGCCGCGGGCCGCCTTCCACGTGGTGCACCCCGAGTAGGGCTTCCACCTTGTCCGCTAGAAGTTTCCGGCCGATCACCTGTGGCGGAACGGAACGAAGCGAAATGGAAACCAGGTGCGGAGAGAAACAGCGCCGTGTGCATGCAGTTCGATGAATCTGGAAGACCTCGACTAAGGACGTTCAAGAAGATTTTGAAGCTTTTGGCTGGAGAAGGATCTAGTTTCCGATGAAACGCAGTGACGTCTGCTCCGAATAAGGCGTCAAAGCGCTTGCCTGGCCCCCCAGAATGAAGTCTCCGAATCCCTCCCTCTGCTCCTCCCCCTTAGCCGCGCCGCCGGCCGCCTTGCCAGCCGTCCCCCCAAACCCCTGGCGGCTGTTGAGCCGCGCGCGACCGACCGCGGCCCTCCTCGCGCCGCCGAAACTCTGCCCTCCGCTGCTCCGACTGCTCTCTCGTGCTTTTGGCTCAGTTTCCGGTGCCTTTGGACTCTTCTCCGATTTGTCTTGTTCCTCCGATTCGACCTTTTTCTCGGCGACGTTCTCAACATTTCCAGCCCCCACGTTGGCCGGGCTGAAGGCCTCGTTCACGCACCGCGTTCCTCCGGTTGCCGAATTAACCGAGCGGTCGCCTGTCTCTCCCGTGCCCTCTTCGGCTATCGTTTCGAGCCCGGTTGCCTTCCCCTTGGGAGCGCTCACGGCGACCGGGAACTTGGCATCGTAAGCACTGCTGGCCGCTCCCTCCTCTTCTCCGGTCGCCCCTTCCTCGTTTGCCTCTGCTTCCTCCTCGTTTTCCTCGTCCCCTTCTTCCTCCGATTCACTCCCCTCTTCGTCAACCTCTTCCTGACCTTCTTCTCCAACCCCTTCTAGACCCTCTTCCTCTTCGCTGCTCAGCTCTGCCTCCTCGATCGCGGCCTCATACTCATTCCGCGCGACACGTGCCTCGTCCTCAGCGCCGCCACGTGTCTCCTCTCCCCTGCGGGCGGCTGCCGCATCGTCCGGGTTTGCCACTGAGATCTTCTCTGTGTCCATACCCACTTTCTTGCCATCAGAACTAACCGGCAAGCTTCTTGATTCCGCACCCGCTTTTACTACCGCCTTCGCTTGAAGTTGCGTCTCTTCTTGCTTCTGCTTCCCGTTCCCGCCCAAATCCGGCCGCTCTTCATCGCCATTTTTACCAACCAGTACTTTTACCGTCTTCCCGTCGCTTCCGTCCTTCCTTTTCTTCGCATCCGACTCCGATTCCGTACTTTGCTCCTCCCCATTCTTCCTCTTCTTCTCGTTCTCCGCTAGGATCTCCTTACTCGCCGCGGTTTCCCCACTCGCAGCAGTTTCTCCCACTCCATCTTTCTCCCCCACCTTCGGGACGCCGCTGGTCGTCTCGCTCCCCGCCGCGCGCGCGCGCGCCGCGGCCGCCTCCTCGCGCATCTTCTGCCACTTCTTGTACCGCGGCACGCGCTTCTTCTTCTCGCGCTTCGGCTTCCCGCGCGGCGGTGCGCGCCCGGCCGCGTGCCAGTTGCGCAGGTCGAACGCGCGCGTCAGCAGGAACCCCTGCAAACCCCGCTCGAGCGCGCGCGCGTACAGCGCGTCGTTGGAAACCGTTGTATCGAACGTGGCGGTCAGCCAGCCCTCGTGCTGTTCTGGATGCGCGAAAAAGAGGTGGCGCCGTACAGCGAATTTGAGGTACGCGTCGCCCAGCATCTCCAGCCGCTCGTAGCTGTAGCCGGCCGCGCACGAGGTCGCCGTCAGGGCCTCCAGGATCTGCCACGTGGCACGCGGAGAGGTGTCTTGGCTGGTTTTCGTGCAGTCGTTTCAAGCAGCTTTGCGGACCGCTGGAAGGTTCAACGTCACTCGCCCGGTCTTAAGAGCCTTCTACCAACCACGCTAACCACCCACAAAGAACTATCTTCTGTCGGGAAGGAGTTCACATAAGGCCTGCGCATACGTTAGCATCAACCGAAATGACGTTTATCTGCACCTGTTTCTGGTTTGGTCAGAATCTAACACTTGCCCGGGACAGCTCTTAGCCTCAACTCAAATCTGTCCGATATCTTCTGTCCCTTAAATCTCCAATGGCCCAATGGTGGCATGCACGCTGCTCCTCACCCTGCGCCGCAGCTTACCTGGACACGTCCGCGACAGCTCTTTTTAAATACCAGCTTTTTCCAATCCGCCCAAAACTTTTCCTTACAACCTTACGTGAGTTTTCTGTTGAAACCTTGATCCTCAACCGCCACCTTGGTGGCGTGCATGTTGCAACCCCGCCTTACGCCGAACTTCTTGATTTAGGTTTGCCCGAGACCCGTCTTTTCTCCTCCTACACTTCTTAAATCAATAGTTGAAACTAAACTCAAATTTGAATGTTTTAAGTCACACCTTGGTGGCGTGCACGTTGCTCCCCGCCTTGCGCCGCAGCTTCTCCGCGAGCAGCACCTCCTCCAGGCGGTGCAGGAAGCTGGGCAGCCGCTGCGCGCCGCGGTGCGCGCGCGCGGACGAGCGTGCGCGCACCACGCACAGCTCCGCGGGGACTTCCAGCAGCCGCCGGCTCTCCTTGTCGGCGGCCGCGTCGAGCTTCTCTTCCTCCGCTTCCTGACATGGGCAGAAAAGAGCAGCAAGGAATGATGAGACGGCTGTTCGGTTTCTGCAGAGTGTTGTGTCTGGCGTTCTTGGTGTTCACTACCTTAGGCAGAAGTTAAACCTGGCCCCAAAAATGGAGACAAGGGGGGTAGACAGTCCTCCACAACGCTAATGTGTCTGCTGGTGCTCGGTCTCATTCGAGATTCCCGTCTCTTCAGTTTATGACCGGCTAGCGCTTTACAGACACCTCAGCCATGGTGGATGGATGTTTAAATCGTGTTTAAAGGTCAAAGAGGCCTGGAACACTTTCAATCAGAGACAGTCAGCGGGAACAATCAGCTTTAAACCCCCCGTTGTAGAAATAGCAGTTCTTTGAACTGAGTTACCCTACCTGCTCGCTAGTGATCTCCTCTTTTTTCTCAAGCTTCGGCTTCAGCAGCGCGGCCGCCTCTGCGACGGCCTGACCCTCGTCGTAGGCCTCCTCCCGTTCCGAACCGCCGTCCGGACCATCTCCCGGGCACTCTGCTCGCGTATCATCAGCGGCCGGGGCGCTTGTCCGGGGACCGGTTTCTTCTGCCGGGGGCACGTTTGGTTTGACTGGAGAGAAAGGAAAGGCAACTTCCATTTTTAAATCGTTACTTTTGACATGCTTGCTTTCGTTTAGCACGAGCAGGGGAGTCGAGGATGCTGTCGAGACTTCATATTTTTGAGAGGGTGAGACCCGATTGAAACAATTATCTTTGTTTTGAACGCTGTTGCTCACCGTTTCGGGGCACGCCCCAGAGAATGATCTCGGATTCGCTCAGACAACAAAGGTTGTCTTGAACACATAGGGCACGGAACGTCAGCGGTTTTGAATGATCTACTAGAAGTGACCAGTTCTCAGGTCTCCGTGCAAGACTTCAACAAGACTCTCTAGTAGAACTTTCTTCATTCAGTGACTCCCACGATGAAACGTTCACAAAGGTGCTTGGGACAACTCATCGAGGTCCTGTGGAGCCCACTCATCGGAAGGTAAATCTGAATATGAAGGGGACTGAAACCTGGCAAAAACGACGTGTGTAACAAAACTGATCACCACTAAATTAAGTCTCCGCAAGATCCTCAAAAATACGGTGTCGAAACCTCACCAAAAGTCCTGCGGCGCCCACTTGGCAAACGGTTATACGGATCTGAGAGGGTACTGAAACTCAGCGGAAAGGACGTCAGTCACAAATCTGATCACTATATTCCAAGTCTCCGTATAAGCTCCAAACATACGCTGTAGAAAGCTCACCGAGGTCCTGCGGCGCCCACTTGTAGGGGTCCCGGTGTGGGTTGAGCAGGCCCCGGGCGCGCTTCAGCGGCTTGCACTGTAACAGGGGCTGACGCGGATACGACATGGCCAGCTTGCGCCTGCGCGGGTTCGTAAGTTGCGTGAGAGTCGTTTGTAAGCCGAAGGAAATAGAAGAGATGCTTTCTATCATCAGATTTAAGAAATTGGTTCGATGACTTGGGTCGGAAGCCTCATATTACATAGCCTCGAGACGACACAAACGCAAGGATGAACGTGGTGGAGGAGATGAAGTAAGGAGCACTATACACGTGCTTGCCAAGTGTCTTCCCTGAAAATGAAGAGTCGTTTAAAAAAAGCCTTAGCCGCTTTCCGGCAACGGCGCCCTCCCTCTGGGAGATGTACCATCACAAGGAAGCAACGTTTATTTGTACCAGCCAGTCAGTTCAAACTGATCTCATTGATCTCTTTTTGTTGAAAAGTCTCGCTTCTTCACCGCCGGATACAGTTGATACCTAACCAGAACTTTCTACCCAGCTGCATTACGAAGGACTTTGTAAGCCGGAACTTCCTGCCGACCCACTCACCTGGTGCGGTAGTACTCCGAGAAGGTCGTCCACTTGCGCCGCTCCTCCCGGTGCCGGTAGATGAACGGACTGTCCAAGCAGGTGTCCGTTAACACCCGGTACAGCCGGTAATCTTTCTTGGTGTGAATAGCCGTCACCATCGTCTCCCCCTCCCTCAGTTCGGACACGTCCACCAGACCGTCCGCAGTCATCAGCTGTCCGGGAGCGACCCACTCTATTCGCACCGAAGATTCCTTCTCCTCTCTTTCTGGCTCTTTCGCCTTTTCGGTGCCAGCGGAAAAGACAAACGGCGCGGGGGTTCCGCTCTCGCTTTGCACGGAAGCTTCCTCTTTCAGACGGTCGCGCAATTCCTGGCTGTCCGAAACCCCCAAACCCTCGCCCTCCGCGAGCGGCGTCGGCTCTTTCGCCGGCCGGATCGCGTCATTCACAACCGCCCAATCGATCTCCACGCCCGTCTCGTCCCCCTTATTCCCACCCGACCCTTCAGCGGGCAAATCGCTGGTGTGAACGGCCTCGGTCGCCGTTTTGGGCGGAGTTCTTTCCCTGAGCGGCAGCACGAGGTAGGCCTTTTCGGGCGACCAGTACGGCTCGACGGGCGGCGTCACGTGCTCCCAGTCCAGCACCCAGCCCATCAGCTTCACGTGGTACTGACGGGCTGCCTCCAACTGCACCGCCAGAAATTGGTCAGAGATATGGTCAAAGAGATATGGTCAAAGAGATATGGTCAAAGAGATATGGTCAGAGATAGAAAATTTGCAGCGAACAGATTGAACCGTGGAGTGTCTTGGAAATGGAAGGAGCTCATAAGTGAGAGCTTGGTGAAGAACAGCAAACAGGTTAGGCCCCAGGTATTGTCGGTTGTAAAAGGTGCAAGTGATTGGTAACAATTCTTCAACAATAGCATTCTGACAAGCTATCTACCCTGATAGAACACCGCGACCGGCGCATGCTTTATAGAAGTCGATTGCTCACCTTTCTAACACTCAAATCTTGACAACAGAAAACCACGTAAGCAAGAGAATTCCACAGCAAACAAGCAGCCCACTGCTTACATCAAGAAGCGGCAAAGCGGTGCCAACTCTTATTAAGTGTCCCACACCTGGAGTCTCCATCTCTTAGACAGGTCCAGTTTATAGGTCCTTACCTGGCTCTTGCTCAAGTATTTACGACCGCCAAACCCTAGGTTCCCCCACACAGTCTCCACATCCTCCCCCCTCGGCATATATAGTTCCACGCTCATCGGCAAAATCGTGTCCAGGTTCTTTTCCGTCACCAGCACGAATCCGCCGGCATCCGCTTCCTCTGGATCGCCCCCCTCGCCGGACCGGAACGTGATCGAGTACGAGTGCACCGCGATCGTGTCGGGTCCCCGCAGACCCCGGGCAGAAATCGTTCCGCTTGGCTCTTCCGCTTCCGTGTGGCCCAGTCCTCCAGAACCAGCGGGCTTAGAATGAGCGAATTGTCCCTCCTCGTCTTTTTCAGCGGGGACCGTTTCTATTTCTGTAACTGCAAATCCTTTCTTTACGGCGTCGTTCTTGAGGGAAGTCTCTGTCTCTTGCTCTCCCCCGGTGCTACGAACCGGTTCCTCCAAAAGCGCTTTCCGCGCGTTGATACCACTTTCTGCTTCCGGCGTTTCCGCTCGGGGCGGAACACCGGGCGCTGCTTTCTCGTCTTCAGCCAAGCTGGCCTTGAGCTGCATCAGGATCCGTTCAGTCTCCTCCTTTCCGTTCCGTTCAAAGACCGGAATGACGACCCCAAGCGCCTGCACTCCCCAGTCGGTCCCCCAGGTTACCTCAAACAAACCGACTTTCTTAACCTCCAATTTCGGCTCCTCTCTCTGCGCCGAGATGACTTCCGCTTCCGCTCTGCTCTCCGGCGTTCCGCTCCTGCTTTCCGTCGTTCTGCTGGAGGAAGATTCCGGCGAATTCCGGGGCATGCTCTGGCCGAGCCACTTTCCGTGCAGCAGCGTGGGGCGCTCTTCGTCGTAGACTGGCAGGTTGGGCTTGGGGGCGGGGTAATGCCAGCGGGTGAAGCGGAACGGGCGCCGCGCCGGAATCTCCTGAGCGGAACGAGGGAACCCAGTGTGAACATACCAATGGCAGTTGTGACATTAGCGAAGCGCGGGAGAAAGAGATATTTGACGCTATAGGGAGCATCCAAAAGATGAGACTCACGTTGGATTCTCTTCATCGAAATACTCCCGTCAAGAAATCCTGGCTTGCTCTTTCTTGAAGGTTCGAGGTTTCCACTGCGGTCTATTAAGGTTTGTGTTTCAAAGCCAAACCAGAGTCGCAGTTAGGACAGGCGATGTGGCTTCTGCGGGTGAATATATAATACCTGAACCTTACCAGAGATAAGCACACTTTGAATCTTAGTAGTGGACGTTATCATCTGAAAACCAGATGAGCGTTCACTGATCGTCTCCAAAGACTGTGTGCCAATTGATTGACAAAGTTGGCAGAACTGCGCAATCAAAGGTAAAGCGCGTGCCTTACAACTTGGCTCAGAGAGCGAGTGCTCATGTTTGCTGGATCAATATCCAGCGGTCACAACACTCGTTACTGCCCCACATTGGAATGGATTCGGAAGAAAAGCTTACGGCTTGTACAGGGTTCAGATTGGCTGCTAGCAGAAACAAAGGACTTCTTCTTATGCTCATTGAGCTCGAATGTCGCATGAACGCAAGAACTATAGCAAAGCGCTCGAAACAGATAATCACCGATGCCCGGAACGGCAAGGTACGAGATTCCGCGAAGGAAACGGAAAGGTCCATCACGCCTGTCGCAATAATCCCGCAGCTTCTGTTCGGGTAGAAAATGCTGTTCGACTTCAAAACGTTGAGTCGACTTGGCCTTTGCCTATGCCGGAAATTCGTTGCAAAGACCGAGGCTTAAGAGCAAGGGATACGAATGGCACTGAGGACTCTGTGACTGTTCCCCGTTTGTTGCTCATCATTGCCGCTTTTCTTGCACGTCGAGAACATGTTGCAGTGGGCCCGATTACGTGAATTAGATGGTCGTGACATTGATTGTCGGGCTACTCAGAAAGTGCTAAGAAGGGCAGCCGTGCGCTGTTTGAATACGGAACAGAATCAGATGTCTTGACAGCGGCAATGAGCAGATGCGGTCTGCCGTGCGTTTTCTTGGAGCGCACTGTGGATTCAAAACGCGCCAACTCGACAAACTCGGAACGATATGGAGTCTGGTTTAAAGTACGGTAAGCCAAGTCTGAGCAAGCGTTAATGCAGGACTTAGGTTCAGATGAATGTTTTTGGTTTGGATTTGTCACGCAAAGATCTGCCACAAATCACTCAATGTCGAGACGAGGGGAAAGCAAGCTATTGCTCAAGAAAATTCTCAGATGTGTTCAAACCAAATGGGAAAGGTACACTCAATGATTAAAACCTGGCGGGACAAGACAAAGGCTTCTCGTGCTTTTGAAAGTCCCCACGCTGCTGCAAAGGGCATCCAACCTCCAGTCAATCTTCACAATGGGCAGCAATCTGGTTGAAACCTTCGGGATAAGCAGCGGAAGCGAAAATCGCAAAATAATTCAAGGCCCAAAGTAGCTGACAAATACTACTCCAGAGCTAGTTTGCTGAACTCGCGGCTCTGTAAGAAACTGTGCCATCATTTGCTCAATGTTCTTGGGAAGCCTTCACTCCCAGCAGTTTCACATCATGACCGCAAAGCGAGAGCTACAGTGGGCTCGTCATGAAACTAGAAATCAGTAAGTACATGCATCATTGGGCTCACAATATTGGCACCCTGAGTGGCACGCGGAAGTTTGAAAACGGGCAGCCAAGAAGCTTGTACTAGCCATCTGCTCGGAGCAAAATATCAGCTCATTGCAACACGTCCGGCTCAGTCGATGCACTCAAGTGATGCTGTGCCCTTTTGAAACAGAAGGCGGCCAAAGGAGGATTGAGTGCCGTTACATCAAGGCCAGACTGGAACCCCGCACTCTAAAGTCCTTCAAAAGACAGTGCAGACAGATCCGAAGAGCTCAGCCTGTGGTCCTGCCGGGCTCGAAGAGCAGCACCTCACTGCTGCCGGTACGCGGTCCAGTCAGCAGGCGCATCACTCATTTTTGCCCCAAACCTTGCAGAGGCTCAACTGGTATGTCTACAAGATTCTGTTGAGGAACCGTTCAGTTTCCAACTCGCGCGGTTTTTATCGAGGTCCACGTCATGAACTATACTTGATCGCATTCCTCACAACGTGTCCGTAACAAGTCAATGTAAACACCCATTCCCTTTGCGGCTCTGAGGCAATGCTGGGAAGTGATGGATCGCTAGGCTTGTTTCAAGCGATCGCCGTCATCCTGGCCGCCGCGACTTTGACCAAGACCGCAAGAAAGAAGTGCAGAATGAGCTCTTAATTCAAGGCTAGTTGCATGCTTCCAGGCGGAGCGGTTCGCTGGAATGCACCATGAACGGGGCTATACTGAACACTCCTACCTTGTGCTCTCTCTTCCACGCCAAGAACATGATTGTGAACAGCGCAAAGCGTTCTGTGGTGCGTGACAATGCCACTGCTCAGCCCAGCCAGACTTGGAAGGCTTTGAACTTCAGCGTGAAAGTAACGTCCAGAATACCGCAATAGCAGATCGCGATTCACGACAACCTGCTGCCTTTTACGCAGGAAGCCAAATGATATTTTGAATTTCGAACTTTTGACGAAAACACTAATCCCGCCTGCGTTCAAAACTGCGAAAAGCGCAAAAGCGAGGCAAGGAATGGTAATCGTACTTGCCTAACCTCTTCCTCCAAGATCTGGAAAACGTGATTGATTTTACCCAGTTGACCTGGCTTTCCACGGTAACATTAGCCAGCTTCTAGAACCCAAAAACAAGCTATACATTTACAGGGCCTCACCTCGTCCTCCATCTTGGTACTGGGCAGCAGCCGGTCGGTGAGGGCCCTGTATTTGTGCAGCTGCCGGATCGCCTCCATCGCGGCCGCGCGCTTCGCCTCCGGCCGCGACGCGCGCGCGGGGCCTTCCACCGTGCGGATGCGCGCGTTGATGGGCAGGGTGATGGTGCACGAGAAGCGCCCGGGGGATCCCTCGGGGAACTCGAACAGGGGGCGCAGGACGGTGAACCTGGCGGGGAGGAACTGCGCGTTAGAGTAGCAGTCAGGCGCCTGATGCGAGAAAGGACTCTGCGCAAATGTCCAGTTGAACTTCTCTTCTCAAGGAAAGAACAACACCTAAAGATGCTTCGGACTAATTCAAAAGCTGCTGACTTCACAAATGAGATGAGAGCAAGGCAAGGAGCCAGACAAATGGAGAGGGCGGGCTCATGAAGTGATCAAAGCGACCAAGCTATCCGTAGATAAGAAGGAAAGCTGTGCAAAAATGGATACGAAGATTGTGCGACGGGTTTACAAAGGCGCTACCTTAGAGGCACTTTAAAGAAGGAAATAGGCCACAGGTTGGAAGTTTTTCGGCAAGACAAACCCAAACACAGCTGTTGCAATCGGCTGACTGATACACCAGCCCGAAGCTTGATATTCCGAAGAAAGAAACATCCCGTACTTTTCAACAGATTTTCAGTCGACTCTCATTACACTTACTGGTCTCCCGGCAGCTTGGCGCAGTAGCGGTGCAGCAGCCCGACCGCGGAGTCGCTGCTCGCGCGCGCTCCGGTTCCGTCCACGACGTACACTTCCGGTTCCGCTTCCGGCGCCTCCAGGCAGCTCTCGATGTCCTCCCGCGCCATCCGGTCCTCCGCCTGCTGCCGCATTAGGGCCTCGCTGGCTTGAATGGCCACCAGCATCGCCTCTTGCGCGTCGTTGTGCCTGCGCAAAACAGGGCCTCTCGGGGTGATCCTTCTGGTGACCCGTTATAGAGCACGGGGCGGAGAGGAAGCGGTTTGCCTACGTCGTAAGTCTCTCTGATAAAGTCTGCTCTATTTCTCATCTGAGGGAACTCATGGACTGTTTCGGGACATGAGCCTGTCCGAGTCGAGAAACTCCCGAGTCAAGAAGACGAGCAAAGCAGCCGTTGAGATTCGCGATATTCAGCCGGCAAGCGTCACCAATACACATGCCTGGCACGACCATCATACGATGCCAAATCTGCAAACGATCTCGCGCATACTTCAGCCGTCGCTCACCTCTCCACCATGAGAACGTAGTCCGACCCCGGGCGCCGCGCGCGGCCGCGCGACTGGATGTGGCCGCGCACAGTGGTCGGCAAGTCGAAGCGAATCTGCAACACAAGATGTCGAGTTCTGAACCCTGCCAAATTCTTGCAATCACGCGGGCACATCGTTCTGAACAAGGCGCACCTGGGCTCCACCCCGGAGCCAAACCGGGGCCGGACGTGAGCAAGTTGCTTGGAAAAGTGGGGCGCGCTAGGCCCGGCCAGTTCGAGCCCAGTTTGCTTGCCCGGAGCGAGGTGCTCCAGCTCTGCCCCGGTTTGACTCCGGTTCGCAGCCAAGACGCCCTGAAACCCATCCCTCGTCTTTGTGACCCTCAAGAAAGCCTGTCCTTAGTCTTGCACGTCCATGCAGAAGCAGACGTGTTTTGCAGACTTCACCGCTGTTTCCAAAAGCTGATTGTGGCCCGCATAAACGATATTCACATTGGAGTCTAAAGCAATCGCTTCCTCACCACGGAGTTGCAGCGCTGGATGTCGAGCCCCTCCTCCGCCACGTCCGTCGCGAAGAGCAGGGACACGTGGCCCGTCTGGAACCGTGCGATGATGCGCTGCTGCTCGTGGCTGTTCATGCTGCCCGCGCGCACGAGCGCGTCCAGCTGCGCGTCCGTCGGCGCCACGCCCACCTGCGCCTTCACGTTGCGGGACCACTGCGAAAGAGATGAGAGGTCTGAAACGACGACGAGAAGAGCACATACGTGCTCCGAAAGTGGAGAGCTTGAGCCTGATGTTCAACTCCGTGATCTTTTGAGGTTAGAGATGCTGGTTGATACGGATTGCCTTCAGGGGGGCATTGAACAGCAACGAGGAGAATTAGTGCACCTTAAGTAGAGGGCGTGACCTCTGGCTTGAGATTGCAACTTTGTCAAGTGGACCGTCTTCAAATTAGTCAGGGCTGTTTGACTTTTCCCTCCTGTAACTGTTTTTGTTTCTTTGAGGCGGCGCCTCTGTCTACGAGGTACTCAGTTTTTGGCCTTCACAAACTAGAGCACCTTGTGAAGAATTGGCTGTACATGCACGCAGAAAGGAGCCGTCTTTAATCCCTGGCGTCAGACGACAGAACGTCTGAGCCTATGCTCAGACCTTGTGTCTTTCTTGCCACAGGAGAACTCGTCGCGCCCCTAAGAATGTTTGCGTCGTGTGACAATAACAAAGGCTTCCCCCGAGCACGTTAACAAATCGGAAAAATCCTGTTGACAAGGCCACGTCCGTAGAACTGCAAGCTCTCGAAGCAGAAGAATATTCTGCCTGTAGCAAACATGGGGGTTCGGAAGAAGAGCTAGCTTCCATTCGGCCGAGTTTGTGCGGAACAGGCTAGGTCGGGGGACATGCCGTGCCGCATGAAGCTTCCACAATATTGTACAATTTTGCAAGGAACCCATCGTCGGACAGGAGAATCCACGTTGGTGAACAAGATCTGGCCATATTTAGAAAGGTATTGGATCATGTGACCTTGGAGGGATTATTAATCTGGGCAGGTACGGCGCCAAACGCCTTGTGAGGACGTATTTGGGTTTCAAAAATGCATCCTACTGACGAAAACCGAAGTTGGATGGAGCACGGCAAAGAGAGTTGTGGTCACGCACTACTTTGAAGTATTCGACTTTGTGATTGACAATTGAGGTACCGAAGAAACTCTATTCAATCCAACAATATCGACAACAAGCCATATATTTACCTCGTGAGAGTTCCTATAGTGTATCGAGGACAAAAACTGAACGGCGCGCACGTGACGAGCGACGGTGGCATCAGATCGCACTCGCCCTCCCTTGGCAACTGCCGTGGACTCTTGCATCTTCATCGCCACCGTTGGATTGAGTTTTCATCTCATACGAACTTCAGAAGGAAAGTATATGCAAGTTCCGCCATCGTTTGATTCCTTGAAAGAAAACGAAAAGAGGCAACCGCCACATTAGCCAAAGTGACGGACCCAATGAGCCTAACCCAAATGGAACTCCCACCTTGCTGTGTCCGGTCAGAGCTGCGGCGCGCAGTCCCCCCATTGACGTCATGGTCGTCAGCAGGTCCGTCAGCACTTGCGCGGTCAGCACCCGGCTGACGAACACGATACACTTGGCGCTCTCTGGGCGCTCCTCTTCCCCGGTCACTTCTTCGTCTCCCCCGGGCAGGTCCTGGCTGTCCACCGTCTCAGAATGGGAGTCCTCGGGGGATCCCCTGGGCGGAGGGGGATCCCCCAAGCCCCCAACGCCCTTGCCCTGATCCGAAGCTTGGTTACTTTCCGGAGCGCCTTCTGTGACTATTTCTGGGGGGAATTCTGCGGTGCTAGTGGCCCCCCCCGGAGGAAAGGGCGCATCGACGGCTGTGGGTGTCCCCTCGGGCTCGGGCGTAGCGCGGATCTTGTCCACGTGGCGGCAGAGCGCGGCCCACACGTGGCGGCGATTGCGGAAGTGGTACTTGTTGAGCTGGCGGAGGAGTTGGGCGACCTTGGTGGAGAGGAGCCCGCCCTCGATCAGCCGCGGCAAGTCGCACTCATCTGCGCCACAAGGATCGAAGTAGGGGATATGTCTCAGAAATGAAAGCAAAGTGTGTAACAAATAGCTCAAGGTAAAGCCGACCTCAAGAAAGAGAAGCGACCGTTGTCTTACATGTAAACCAAAGTGAAAAGGAAATCTGCTTTTTGAAACTCGACGCCACGGCAGTCTCCTGCTCAGAGTAAGTAAGTCCTGAAGAGGTTTCTGGCGCGTCTGAGTTGGCGCCATTGAGCTCACTTCACCGCAGTCTCGAACACAAAAAGGACGCAATGATCCTGAGGGCGAACATGTTCTCGGCCGAATTTTCGGGTCCGAACGAAAAGGAAGGGAATGCGCGGCGGACGAAGAAGAGTACGGGGAGCGGGAACCTCCATCCATTAGGCAGTGAAAAGGTAGAGGACCGAAATCAGCCTCGCTTGAATGCAATACGGGCTGCATCAAAGAAGATAGAGCTGCTTGTTGAGCGAGCTTTACTTTCAATCAGAATAAATTTCTGCTCTGAAGAAACCTATCCTCGACCGGCTAGCAAGAGGGCTTGCCCAACACCACTGCTGCGACTCCACAGATATTGGCTTCAGAGTTACAGCCCAACATTCTATTGCGCAGACAAGCACAACAGCTGACGTCATCCACGCCGTTCTGAGCAAATCCAAAAAAGCAACCAGCGAGAATACAGCGCGAACATAAGGGCCGGCTATGGGAGCCTTTCAGGTTGAATCCGACGTATTATCGTACAAGCGCGTGGACATGAGAACCCTTACACAGGACTTCATAGCATGAGAAGAAAAGCACAGAATACCTTGCCGGGATGATTCCGAAGTTAGTAGACGGGGAGGCGATTCGACTGCCTCCCTGCTGGAGGCCACCTCAAGCAGTGACGTCAAAGGACGCAACGTGCGACCTGAAGAGTGTTCCCAATAATCTAACAAAGTGCTTTGGAAACAGCTCTGAAAACCTTTGGAAACAGCCCTGAAAACCCAATCTTGTGCATCATACGAGGTCATCGAACATTAAAAGACGAGGCCGTTTGAGCAACCTTCAGAGTGTCTACGGGCAAAATATAGAGTAAAAGCTACTATGAGCATGTTAAAGTTGGCAAATACATGCGGCTAAGTGCCGTGACAGTGTGGACGGTTTTCTTGCAACGGAAAAGACATGAAACGCACAAGAGACTTCGGATCGACAAGTGTGCGGTTATCAGCCAGTCTTTTCTGTGTGACTGGTTGGTTCGTCGTGCCCGACATGAGGTGCCTCGCGATCGACCTTGAACTCAATTTTCTACCTCGTTTCTCTAAAGGAAGATTTTGAGGGGCTGCAGGTCACCCGGGAAGTAACCAACATGGCTTCGGATAGCTAGGACAGACCCGTCGTGAGCCCAGAACTTCTGAGCCCAGTCACAGCGTCGTCAGAGCCGCTGTCTCGCCACAAGGGCCAGAATGTCGGTGCTAAAAGAGGTTCATAAACGACACATGAGCTGTAAAGCTGCAAAATTGGATATCGTCTTGCGGCCACAAGCACTGGGTCACTTCAAGAAGAGAACCCGAAAGGAGTGGATAGATGGCGATCAGAAGAAACACTGAGGGGCAATATTTTTCTGTGCCGTTTTCACTGCCATTTCGTAGGGGTCCAACGACAGGTCAGCTTCTAGCAACACGCCACGAGTCTCGCACGAATTGCACAAGCACAAGCCCTCTGTGACCACTTCGCCTCGTCATGCTTCTCAAAACGTCGCTCCAGATTCATGATGCTAGAAGGCGCCGGCCAAGTTTACCAGCCACAATGATCCTTACAATGATCCGTACACCGAACGTCCTATTTCCCTTCACAGTCAAAGCACACTTCCAGCATATGAGACCGGCGGTCTCAAAGATGTTCGGAGGACCGCAACGTTTTCGTGAATCCAAGAGAAAGCCCGCTGCAGCCTAGAAGCCCAACTAGAAGGGGAGGTCTGAATAGGGCCATTTTGATTCTGCTATTGGCCTACTGATGGGAAGTCTACTTTTTTCCTGCCAGCAATACAACGAGTACTGAATCCCTGCGACAGCAAAGGTGAAGCATCCGAGCCCATTCTCGAACTAGATGAGCTTTAAAGCTCGGGCAAATGCTCTTCACTGCCCAACAAACAGCTTCGCTCATCTAAAACGCGTTTAAGAAAAGGCAGGTAACGTCAGCAAGTACTCTATTTAGACAGGAGCTTGCTGTTCCCAGTCTTGTGTATAGGAAGCAAGCAATGGATAGCGTTTTGCGCTATAATTGAGAGTAGTGATCCACTCACCGCTGTCAACAACATGGGCATAAAGATCGACAGACCTTGAGACGGCAATATCGGACCCGATTGGTTGAAGAACTTAAAACACGACGTGTCCCACGAAAAAAATCAGACCTCCATTCTTTTCGCAGCTTTAGCCCTGGCGCACGGCAAGTGGACCGTCGCTCAATCCGTTTGCTTGTAATCTTGTGAGCAAACGAAGCAGGCACGTAAAGCATTGCTGTTAAGGGAGTCGCAAGATTGCAATTCAAAACTGCCCGCTTCAATAGGCAGCAGGCAGCAGCACAGCCACACGTTTAGAAGCTTGCTTCAAAAACCCTATGATCCGACGGCTCCGACAGGGCCTATGAGATGTCTTCTAGTTCCGGGCTGGTTTGGACGGTGCAAAAGCGTGGCGTCTCGACCTGGAATTGGAGTCTGTTCTGAAACTCAGGTCGGTTTTGAACATACGTTACCGCGATCGTAGCCACGTGCAGCAGAAGCAGCCCAGCAGAGACCGGGACACATATCCGAATACGACGAGATGAAAAAGAAAAAGAGAATCCCAAGCGCTTTTGGGACTCCCTGGAAGTGTGCAACCCGGGAAGAAACAGCATCGGAGCTCCATGACACGAGACAACGACGAACGGCACCTTCCGCTGACAGAAAGAGCGCTCTTTGCGATGATCAAGTACGTGCATAAGGGCACGCTCAATGAGCGCCAGCCCTTTTTTCCATCTTCTGATCAATCCTCCTCTAAGCCCTAGAATGAATCAAGTGTTTTCCAAACATGCTACTTCCAAGCCGTTTCAACTTCGCATGAGAACTAGCGGCGAAGGCCTCAGCAAAAGAAAACCAAAGGTCGCTAGAGTATTCAAGACCCAGTAACCACGTCACAGTGCCCCGGTGCCCAAGCATAGAGTCTCGTCTTGCTGAGCAGACAGTCGCAAAAAACACACTAATGGAGCGCAAGCTTGTGACGCATCTGCAAGACGAAACTGGCCCTCTGAGACAGCTCAAACTGCTAACGCACTGAGTGGCAAGGGGAACATTCCGGTAAGGGGAAAGACGCACACATCTGGGAAGGAGTATTTCGGCAGAGCGCAGTCCGTGGACAAGTGAAGAGGAGGTCTTTGAGAGTGATTCGGAGGGGGTATTAACCAAGAGGCAGGAGCTACAACTTGAGTCTACAGCCGTACAGGACGTACCTCCTGGAGTGGCACCAAAGAAAAAACACTTCGACGCCGGTGCTTTAGGAACTAAGCAGAAAAGCTCGATACAGGTGTCTACGCGGCCTTGGAAGACACGGTTTTTCAGAGCATAGTTGCGTACCTCCTCTCCTCCAAGGGCGAGTGCGCTGTTTGAAGCATGAGGGATGATCACAAATCCACCCAGCAAGCAATCCAAAATCACTGCTGAGTACAAATTGCGGCGAGGAAAGTCTGAGAAGGACCGAGCCGACTGGACGTCGAGACTCGATCAGGAATAACAACCGGAAGAAGTTGTGCTGTCTGAAATCAGATCAAGATTGGAGGCGTCGGACGAGGCTGCTTTGTTTCCCCACCTCTCTTGGCTCTGCTCGGATCAGGCTACTTTCTTGCCCGCGACAATATCACTACTAGTCGCCATGCTAATATAAGAGAAACGATTCCAAAGCGACAGCATTGAATGAGAACCAAACAGACCAAGTTCCGAACCGCAATTTTGCGATTGGACGTAAGCAATTTCCAGGAGCACCCACGGTCTATGACGGAGTAAGAAACATCGACTACTCTTCTTACGCCTCGATCTTCTGAGGCATGTTAGGTATTCTTTTAATCTATGCAGCACTTTCAGCGTATCTGGATTGCTGTAGGGACAAGCGGCGGGGGCTCGGTATCCAGGGAAATGGAAAAGAAAGCCTGTGAGCCTTGGAGGCTCACTCAATGAGACACATCACGGCCGCCCAATTCTGTCATTTGCACAGGCTTAACGATTCGGATTTGGTGGTTTCGGGCCCCTTCGAGCAACGGTCCTCGTCACTACGGTCTCCATTCAAATGGAGAGCTGACCATGTCAGCCCGTGCCGAAGCAAGTCCCATGAAACGGCTGTCTCCAAAACTATCCTGAAACAATGTGAACCACCCGTTGCCTAACAAGGTAGGGGCTTGCACAATCGACAATCTGGGCACAAGAGTCCCACATGGCACGATAACCATTACAAGCTTCACGGTCGGCCCAAGAAGAGCCGGTTCTCAACAGAGCTTGGCCGAAGCCCTAAGTTAGTCGCTATCCAGGTTGCTTCGCAAGCATTTACTAGTACTAGCAAAAATAGGAAACGCAAGTTCTCAAATCTGCTAATTTCGTTCCTCTGAAATGAGGGCCGGTTCAAGGTGTCCATGCGCCCATTAAAATGACCGGCATAAGAAACAAGAAAGAAAGGAGCGTAGAGATACATAAGCCCAATCCGGCCAACTGACTGCACAGGTGTTCGAGCACGCCAGGAAGGTTTTGAGCACCATCTGATTCCCACTGTTTCATCCCTGAGATCGGGATCAGACTGTATCAGATCTCTTCATATAACTGAAATGGTTGACCCACTTTCCCAGTCTAGGGTCAGTTGGTACGTAGCCGAGAGTCAACATCCGATCAGATCATGATAAGGCTTTGCGTCTGGATGCCGCCGATGATACTTGGACAAAACATAACCAACGAGATACGGCTGTGTGACTAGTGGGTGCGACATGGAGTGGTGAGCAAACAGCTCATTAGTGCACTAATCACGGCCGTCTCCAGAAAGGAAAGACGTAGACTACGTAAGGCTCAATACGTGACGTCGACTAAAACCAGCTTTTGATGGATTCGTGGACATCCCCATTGCGAAAGTGAGCTTTCGATTGCTTGGGCCTTGGGCAGCCAAAAGGATCAAGAGAGTCCTTAACGTAAGAGAATTACTCAAGGCTTCAAAACCAGATAACTCCAAGAAGTGGGCCGAAAAGCCCACTAAGTACCGTTGTCATTACCGTGTAGAATTGCCGTCCAAGCACTCGGAAAATATGACTAAAACACGGCCGATAAAGAGCTTTTCTGAGTAAAGGCTCTCAAAAGAACGTTTTTTTGAAGGAAAACTGATTCCGGAATAGACGTCCAGCAACCACTTCTTTGCTGCCGGTTTTCAGTTACCATGCCCTGGTCAAGGATGGTGCCCTGAGAAGGCAGACACCTGGCTAATGCTTTTTGCAGACGTGCTGTAGCTTATGCTTGTCAGGAATCAGAATTTGCGAAGACCAGCTTCAAGCTCTACGGGAAAGAGAAGCAGATTTCAGCAGAGCTCTAGAAAGGACATGCTTGTACCGACAGGCCTGGT